GGAGGAGGAGGAGGAGGAGGAGGAGTAACGATGGCGTGAAGCAGCCGAATGAAGGAAAAGGAGCAGGGAGGAGCAGGAGAAAGACCAGGCGGCCGATGAGGATGAACAGGGAAGAGGAAGAAGAGGATACCGCAAAGGAGCATGAGAAGCATAGAGGAAGGCAGCAGGGTAAGTATCAGGAGGAGGAGGAGGAGGAGGAGGAGGAGGAGGAGGGGGATAAGGAGGAGGAGGAGGAGGAGGGGGATAATGTGAAGCCTAACAACAAGTCCAACACATACGAACGGCCCTGTGATCCTGCAGGTCGTCATCCCGTGGCCTGTCATCGCGCAATATCTGAGCACGGCGAACGAGGGAAGAGGCCTGTGAGGAAAAGGGTCACGATAAGCAGAAGGGAAAAGGACCGGCGAATGGGTGGAGAAGCAAGAGTAGGAAGGATACTAAGGATGAAGAGGTAGGTAGGCAAGCAAACCCACCCAAGAGGCCTGTGAGGAAAAGGGTGACGATAAGCAGAAGGGAAAAGGACCGGCGAATGGGTGGAGAAGCAAGAGTAGGAAGGATACGAAGGATGAAGAGGTAGGTAGGTGGGCAAGCAAAACCCACCCCACGCATCCCTTGCATAGCATGCCCACCGCCGTGGTGTACCGCAATTGGCGAGCGCTGGGTTATCATGTGTTTCGAATTCCCCCGCCGTGCAGCACAAGAAGTCCACCTACACACCAGATCGAGGCCCGCATGCGTCAACACCGTTCCAAAACTCATAAGTGCTTCACCTTTGTCAAACAAGGAAGAACAAGTTGACGAAACAATGGAATGCCTTTTGGCCCTCCCTGCCTACCCCCACCCCCGCGCGCCTTCCCCCACAGCGCAGAAGCAGATATGCGCGGCAGCGCAATTGATGAACAACAAGGCCCGACAGAACCAGGTTCAGCCTGGCTTCGCATGCGTTTGTCCCTGCAGCGCCACAGAGCTGTCACATCCTGTATTGCGTGGGGATCGCAGACCTCTACAAGCGTTGGCACCAGGGCCCAATGCTATTTGCTCTCCGCGCCAATCAGCGTTAATTGGGAGCTCCGAGCCAGGGGTCTGCCAGAGTTGAAGAAGGGTACGTTTACAACCCATGGCCAACAGATTTACCACCTATGCAGAGCACAGTGTGTGCTACCATCAGGCTGCGCGACACTCGGCGGTCGCAGTCTGAGCTGACATGGCTACTTTCTCAGATGTTGAATGTCACCCATGCCCCACCCAAGAATCGGGCGCAATGGAACGCCCCTGCGGTAAGCAAACAACTCTGCGCCGACGATTTGTTCAACGTCGATCCCCGTTTCCTGGCGCATGGTGCCGACAGCATCGGCATGCACCGGATCGACTGGGCGCGGGACGCGACCGTGAAACATCAGGACATGCTTGCATAGGCCCGCTTTCACGTTGCAGGCACCTGCTCCCGATTGCGCCTTCCAGCTCCCGTGCGCCAGCAAGCTCTTTCCGCTGCGCTCGACGAGTTGGCCACCAGCCGCGCCTTCCGCAGCGAGCAAAAGCGCTGGTATCGTTTGCATGATTTGCATGACCATAATACAGCCGACGTGCGTGTGCGTCCGGACGAGGCCCTCGTCCTGGATGATAAGTGAAAGAGCTACATGTGGCTCACGCCTTGCATTGTTCACCAATGGCTTTGCCTGTCATTCGCAATGTCCGCGACGGTTGGCATCTCACGTGCCTTGACCGGGCGAGCGCGAATGAGTGGTGCTGGAGTGTCCTTAATGAGCAGCTCTTGACACCACCCGTTAAGGTCTTCGTGTTGCTTCCATCGCTATGTTCGCGTTGCTCCTTGAATGGATGGCACAATCAAAGCCAAATATTTCCGTGGTGGCGTCCGCGTCTGCGGGTGCGCGGGCCATTCGTGCCTGCAGAAAGTCGCGTCGTTCGCTGCATGGTTCATGCGGCGCCTGTGGCGATATATCCACCATGCGCTGGAAGCAGTCATGCGGGAGTACGGCGGCTGCGACGAAGTATGGCCTCTGTGGGAGACTACACAGGTTATGACTGCGCGTATCGAGGCTGCCCAGCAAGTGATAGCGCACGGGACTGGCGCCCTTTGCCAGAAGGTGAAGGCAGAGTCCACGGCCGTTGTTGCAGATGCGCGCCAATTTTTCGAAACCGTCCGACCGCGTGATGCCATCTTTGCCGCGCGCACCGTCCTCCTACGCTGCCAGAGCCCTATAGATAAGGAGGCCGTCACGGCCCTCAAGATCTTGAGACGCCTGGCATTCATGGGCGGTGATGGCGTCGTGCACGACGGTAAAAAAGAATCTGATTTAGTTTCACCGACCTGTTGTTTGCCGTCTCCGAATGCATGTTTGTGACGACGTACTCTCTAGGCGACTAGGTGACTTATCCTTCTGGGCTTCCAATCGGGGGCGCCCTCTCCAAGGTGGCCGCAAGTTCTGCGCTGGGCTTGGAAGAGAACCGTTATCGTGGCCCGGCGGAGGTCCATAGGCTT